GCTGTGGCCGGCGCACCGCGCTGATCCAATGGCAGGAGCCAGGTGATTTTCCTGGTCTCCCATGGGGTGCAGGGCCCAAGCACCTGGGCCATCCTCCACTGCACTCCCTGGCCACAGCAGAGAGCTGGCCTGGAAGAGAGGCAACCGGGACAGAATCCGGCGCCCCAATTGGGACTAGAACCCGGTGTGCCGGTGCCGCAAGGCGGAGGATTAGCCTAGTGAGCCGCGGCGCCGGCCGCACTTTCTTATTTTCTAAAAAAATTTATTTATTTGAAAGTCAGAATTACAGAGAGGGAGAGGTAGAGGGAGGGAGGGAGGGAGGGGAGGAGAGGAGAGAGAAGTCTTCCATCCACGGGTTCACTCCCCAAATGGTTGCAATGGCCAGGGCTGGTTAGGATGAAGCCAAGAGCCAGGAACTTCTTCTGCGTCTCTCATGTAGGTGCTGAGGTCCAGGGACTTGGGCCATCTTCTGCTGACTTCCCAGATGTATTAGCAGGGAGCTGGATGGAAAGTGGAACAGCCGGGACTTGAACCAGTGCCCATATGGGATGCCAGCACTGCAGGCAGTGGCTTTACCAGCTATGCCACAGTGCCACAGTGCTGGCCCCGGCTGTTTTACTTTCTATCCAGCTCCCGGATAATGCACTTGGGAAAGCAGCAAAAGATGGTCTAAGTGCTTAGGCCCTTGCACACACATGGGACACCTGGATGGAGTTCCAGGATCCTGGCTATTGCAGCCATTTGGGGAGTGAATCAGTGGAAGAAGATAACCCTATGTATGCTTTTCAAATAAATAAATAAATAAATCCTTTATACTGTAGTGCTTCATTAATTAAAACAGTATTATTGGGGGCGGCACCTTGGCGCAGAAGGTTAATCCTCCGCCTGCGGCACTGGAATCTCATATGGGCGCCGGCTCTAGTCCCGGCTGCTCCTCTTCCAATCCAGCTCTCTGCTATGGCCTGGGAAAGCAGTAAAAGATGGCCCAAGTGCTTGGGCCCCTGCACCCACGTGGGAGACCAGGAAGAAGCACCTGGATCCTGGCTTCGGATTGGTGCAACTCCAGACGTTGTGGCCATTTGGGGAGAGAACCAACGGAAAGAAGATCTTTCTCTCCCTCTCACTGTCTGTAACTCTCTCTCAAATAAATAAATGAAATCTTTAAATAGTATAATTAATTAGATAGTAATTAATAGTAACTAAAATACTGTAATAAATGAGTAATTGATATGATACTGACATTAAAAACGGATCCAAAGGGCAATGGAACAGAATAGTTTGAGTCCCAGCTGCTCTATATCCTATCAGCTCCCTGCTAATGGCCTGGGAAGGCAGCAGAGGATGGCACAAGTGTTTGGGTCACTGCTACCCATGTAGGAGACCCAGATAAAACTCCTGGTTCCTCCCTTATATGATACTAAAATTACCCAAAGCTAAAAATAGTAAGAAAATCCTTAAACCTGCTAGAGGAAGAAAAGAGATTGTTTTCAAAAGACACTATGTGCTGGCATTGTGGCACAGTGGGTTTGGCCACCACCTGTGATACTGGCATCCCATATGAGTGTGGGTTCGTCCTGGATGCTCCACTTCTGATTCAGCTCCTTTCTAATAAACCTGGTCTCTTTGTCTCCGTCTCTTCTCTTTCTGTAACTCTACCTTTCAAACAAACAAATAAGTAAATCTTAAAAAAAAAAAAACTTTCCCTTTGAAAAAGTGCAAAAGAGAATATCCATTATCATCAGTTGTCATTCAAGAGTGTCTGGAGGTCTTAGCCAGTATAATGAAATAAGAAACCAAATTCTTTGGATTAGACAAAAAAAAATGCTGAAATTTAAGAATAATGTAAAACTATATAAGTTTACTCAAAACAGACTGTGTGACACTGGCACAGGATATGCAAATAAATCAATGAGACAAATCAAAGAGCTCATAAATACACCCATGCACATACAGACACTGGTATATATATGCAGATCACTGAGAACACAATGAATTTTCTAATATATGGTATTCAGAGAAGTGGTATTAATACTGGCAGGCAAGATCTGAACCCTTCCCTCACAGCATATATAAGAGCCAATTACCGGCCGGCGCTGCGGCTCACTAGGCTAATCCTCCGCCTAGCGGCGCCGGCACACTGGGTTCTAGTCCCGGTTGGGGCGCCGGATTCTGTCCCGGTTGCCCCTCTTCCAGGCCAGCTCTCTGCTGTGGCCAGGGAGTGCAGTGAGGATGGCCCAGGTGCTTGGGCCCTGCACCCCATGGGAGACCAGGAAAAGCACCTGGCTCCTGGCTCCTGCCATCGGATCAGCGCGGTGCGCCGGCCGCGGCGGCCATTGGAGGGTGAACCAATGGCAAAGGAAGACCTTTCTCTCTGTCTCTCTCTCTCACTGTCCACTCTGCCTGTCAAAAAATTAAAAAAAAAAAAAAGAGCCAATTACCATTAGTTTAAATATGTAAGGGGGAAAGTTAACCTTATATATAGATTTTAACATAAATGTATAGGAGAAAATGTCCATGACCCTTGGGACAGGGAAGGATTTCTTTAAAAAGATACAAAAAGCATGAATCATAAAGTAAAAAAAAAAAAAAAACAACTGGTAAACTCAATCTTGTTGTTAGAATTGCTGTTCATATAACCATCTTGGGGACGGCACTGTAGCGTAGTGGGCTCAGTCTCCACCTGTGGCACCGGCATCCCATATGAGCACCGTTCTAGTCTTGGCTGCTCCTCTTTAGATCCAGCTCTCTGCTGTGGCCTGGGAAAGCAGTGGAAGATGGCCCAAGTCCTTGGGCCCCTGCACCTGCGTGGGAGACTGGGAAGAAGCTCCTGGCTCCTGGCTTCAGATGGGTCCAGCTCCAGCTGTTGCCAACATTTAGGGAGTGTATCAGCGATGGAAGACCTTCCTGACTGTCTCTCGTTCTCTCTCTCTATGGATCTGCCTCTCAAATAAGTGAGTAAAATCTTACAATAAAATAAAAACTATCTTAAAGAAATTGATAGAACAATCTTAACAGTACAATTATATAATCAATAAGCTACCCGTACTCAGCCTATATAAATTTAAACTCTTTTTTTTTTTTTTTTGACAGGCAGAGTGGACAGTGAGAGAGAGAGACAGAGAGAAAGGTCTTCCTTTGCCGTTGGTTCACCCTCCAATGGCCGCCGCGGCCGGCGCGCTGCGGCCGGCGCACCGCGCTGATCCGGTGGCAGGAGCCAGGAGCCAGGTGCTTTTCCTGGTCTCCCATGGGGTGCAGGGCCCAAGCACCTGGGCCATCCTCCACTGCACTCCCTGGCCACAGCAGAGGGCTGGCCTGGAAGAGGGGCAACCGGGACAGAATCCGGCGCCCCAACCGGGACTAGAACCTGGTGTGCCGGCGCCGCTAGGCGGAGGATTAGCCTAGTGAGCCGCGGCGCCGGCCTGTAAATTTAAACTCTTATGAGTCAGTAAGAGATTATTCAAGAAAGATGGATAGAAAATTTGAACATTTATGACACAAAAGAAATGCTAATGTACATGTGGAAGAGTACTCAACTATATTATTAATTATGGAAATCCAAATTCAAACTTCTATGTGAGTTTGTAGGGGTGTATGTACGTGTGTGTGTGTATGGGTATATATAAACATTTAAATAAGTATTTAGAAGTCTGGTACAACTGATTTAAAGAAAAGTATAAAACATAGATCCTTCATACAAAGAAATATGTCTTTGAAAAAGTGTAGTTGCTAGGACCACTACATAACGTGGGAGGATACTTATGACACTTTTAAGTGAAAATGTAGGATAAAAAATGAAGGGACTGGTGCTGTGGTGCAGCGGGTTAATGCCCTGGCCTGAAGCGCCAGCATCCCATATGGGCACTGGTTCGAGACTCAGCTGCTTCACTTCCAATCCAGCTCTCTGCTGTGGCCTGGGAAAGCAGTAGAAGACGGCCCAAGTCCTTGAGCCCCTGCACCTGCGTGGGAGACCCAGAGGAAGCTCTTGGCACCTGGCTTTGGATCAGCACATCTCTGGCCATTGCAGCCATTTGAGGAGTGAACAAGCGGATGGAAGACCTCTCTCTTTCTCTGCCTCTCTTCTCTGTGTAACTGTGACTTTCAAATCAGTAAATAAATCTTTAAAATAAAATAAAATGGTAAATGAAGTATGAGCATATATTGGAAAAATAATGAAAGTACATTGAAATATTAAAACCAATTATCTTAATAGTCATACTTTATTTTTATTGGTAATTCTGTGAACTTCTCCAAAATAACCGTGTACTTATTTTTAAATTACAATGAATATTCTATCTGGAAAGAAGAAAATTCAGCACGTGGAAGCGGAGCCACTTTTCAAATAAGTGAAAGTCAAATACACGGACAGTAGTGGGCTTCAATACCAGGCCCAACCATTCTTTTATACAATGAAGAAATTATAGGGACCTATAATCAACAGACATATCTTCATTACCCAAGAATTCTTGGAAAGAGGAAAGCAGAGGAAGCCCCCACACACCTTGGCTATCGCTTGCAAGAGTTCATCACGCATTCTTTCCTCCTCTTCTGGGAAAGCCACATGGAGAAGAATAGAAATTGGGAGAGGAAAAAGTAATTTTGAGAGGTTTCTCTTGGTACCCAAATCAGTAGCCATTCCCAGCCCTAGCCCAGCCCCATTAATCACCACGCTCAGGGAACAGGGACAGCAGAAGCAAGTGAGGCGTCCTGTCCATCCCCACCACGTCAGGGAAAACCTTTGTTTACTGTTGTCCAGGATTAGAATCTGACAAAACCTCATAGGGGTTTCCTGGGGACAGAGCTCTGGAGGCACAATGGCACGGGTGACACCCATAGTGTCACAAAGATTTTGATACAGTCATCCTTAACCCAAGGAGCCCCACATGGTAACACCGTTACAATCGCACACCCATAGGGACGCACACCGTCCCCACTGCTCGGGGACAGGCACCCCACCTCAGCCACAGTGTCACAATCCCACAACCCTCCTTCTTTAACTCGCTCCCACGGCACGGACCTCCAGTATCATAGCCCAGCTAAGGTCTTTCCGATCTGAGTCGGAATCTGCAGACCCGAGCTGGTCCCACCAGTAGCCACAATCTCTCAATTCACAGATCTAACGGTCCCGCCAGGCGTGACGAAATGTTCCTGTTCCCGCGAGAAGAGCGATCGGCCACCAGGATCTCTGGGAAATGTAGTCCAGAGCAGGGCCGACGCCGATCGCTCTCAGGGTCTCGCCCGGGTCCACCAGCAATGACTGCAGGACAGTTCTCTGATGTCCTGCCGAGTCTCAGCTGTGCATCCCCGCAAGTAGGGAAGGAGGACCTCAGCCTCCTGGCGCCAATCTGGCTCACTGCCTACCGTCCGGCAGACGCGGTCCGCGCTCCGGCCGGAAGTTGAATAGGACCGCGCGGCATCCTGGGAGGAGTTGTGCTGTGGAACGTGTCGGGAGCGGAGGAATGTTTCGGCGGTAGTGTGGTTGGTCCACGGCGTGTTTGGTGGTGCCGTCCTCTCATACTCTGAGGCACTGCGCTGGAGCAGCCCTCGGGCTTTCCTGGCAGGTGGTGCTGCCGCCTGTCCGCAGCAGTTGAGCGAGCGCGGGCAGTTTGAGCTTTCGGACGGCGCCGCCTCGGGCGGCTGACGGGCGGAGCCTCTCCGGAGGTCGGCGTCCCCCAAGTAGCGGCTGTGGAGAGGGGGTGCTCCTGGGGAGAGCACGCTGCTGGTGAGTGATCGGAGTTGTTGGAATTAAAAAAAAAAAAAAAAAAAAAAAACTGTGATAGGAATTTTGTGTGTGTGTTGTGATGGCGTGATAGTCACGGGCTGATTGTGGTTGTGTGTGATTGTGATTAAAGTGTGCTGAGTGCGAGCAGGGTTAAGTGTGCTGATTGTGCGATGTGTGGTGGTTCCTGTCTGACTTGAGTTGACTTCTTTGTAGCATTTGGCACAGTCAGGAACTGCGTGAGAAGTAAAGAAACCGCTCTGCGTTTGTGTTGTGGTCCTCCCTCCCCGTCGTCCCATTCTTAGTCTCCTTTGCTGGCTTTTCCTTCTTGACCCCCTCAGCCCTTGGCCTTGTTCTGTAGCTTCCGAGTTTTGCTTGATGATTTCCCCCAGGTTCAGGATCCTCCTCTAAGGCTTGTTTCCTTTACTGTGTCGATGAGTTAGCTCTTGCCATAACACCGCCTAGCAGACACCCCCTACACCCAGTGCCGTATAACAGAGAAGTTTATATTCTCCTGTTCATGGGTTTACAGGTTCCTTGTGCTCACCTGATCTAGCCTGGTCTGGCTGAGTGAGGAGGCTGCAGGGTGAATTCAGATAATGCGCTTCATGTGTTCTAACTGAGCGCGGGTTAAGAGGGCAGTGGTTACCAGGACATGTTCTTATAGTGCATCACCGGGGCACAAGATAGAATATGCAAGCACGCCTAAAACCAGTGCTCCCCAGTATACTAATAATAGATTAGCCAAAGCGGGGCACGTGGCTGAGCTTACCATCACTACACCCACAGCTGAAGGGCATTACAAAGTTATTTGGCAAAGAATGTGAATGTATAATTCTATTAGAGGAAAGCGACGAATTGGAGCCAAGGTTGCAGCTTACCACATTAAAAACTGTGGCTCTTCATTCTGAATGTATTGTAGTCCATGTTCTCTTTTGCCTGGTAATACTGCTTTTCAGGTTTTGTTATTATGTATTATCAAGAATTTTATGTTCAGTGTTTATTTTCTTTTCCGTCATGTCTTTGTTTCAAGTATTAATGTCTTTATGGCTCAGGTTTTCTGCAAAGACCATATTTCTGGTGTTTTTACCCTTTTAAACTTTTTGTTATTTTAATAGGTAAATGTAAGTCGATTGTATTTATCCTGATAGCTGATAGAGATTTTATTTTTCCATTTCCTATTCTGTGTTATTTTACCTTTCTTTTTATTGTGCAGGTTTACCTTATTCCTTTTTTTCCCCCCTCTCCACTGGTTTGGTTTCTGCTCTTATCCTCCAGTTTATTTTATTTTATTTTACTTATTTATTTGAGAGGTAGAGCTAGAGACAGAGAGAGAGGTCTTCCATTCACTGGTTCACTCCCCAAATGGCCACAACAGCCGGAGCTGGGCTGATACAAAGCTCAAAGCTTCTTCTGGCTCTCCCACATGGGTGCAGGGGCCCGAGCACTTGGGCCACCTTCTACTGCTTTCCCAGGCCGTAAGCAGAGAACTGGATTGGAAGAGGAGAAGTCAGGGCTTGAACCAGAACTCATATGGAATGCTGGTGCCAGCAGGTGGAGGCTTAGCCTACTACGCCATATGGCTGGCCCCCTTCAATTTTTAATATGCATAATTTACAAAACCCAAATTTAAGAAGACTTAACTATACTTGAATTCAAAACTACTCACCTATTTCTGTTTTATTCTTGTCTGATATGTTGTTTTCTTCTAGTTTTATTTATTATTACTATTTCATTTGTTTTTTACGCATGTATATATATTTTTAGTTTGTGGTAAAATATATAACCTAAATTTTACCATCTTAACCATGCTTAAGTGTATGGTTCAGTGACATTAAGTACAGTCACAATGTTATACTATAATCAGCACCATCCACCCACAGAACTGTTTGTGTATCTTGCAAAACAGAAACTCAAGTATCCATTAAGCAGTTACTCCCCATTCTTCGAGTTCCCCAGCTCTTGCTGACCAGCATTTTACTTTCCATTACTGGGATTACTGTAGGTACATCATATATAAGTAGACTTTTAAAATATTTGTCCTGTTGAAGGTGCTTAGCACAATGTCCTTCAGATCCGTCGGTGTGAGCATGTGTCAGAATTTCAAAGGATACTTAGGCGGCTTTCTTCCTTTTGACTCTTGTGAATAAACAGTGATATAAATAAGGGAGTACAAATACCTGAATCCTTGCTTGTAATTCCTTTGGGTGTATACTCAAAAGTAGAATTGCTTGATCATATGTTAATTCTATTTTGAATTTTTTGACTGCCATACTGTTTTCCATAGTTGCTGCCTTCTTTCCTTAATGTATTTTTTAAAAATTAGGTTTATTTTATTTAATTGAAAGGCAGAGTGGACAGAGGGAGAGACACAGAGATCTTCCATCTGCTGGTTCACTCCCCAAATGGCCCCAATATTCAGGGCTGGGTCAGGCTGAATCCAGGAGCCAGGAACTTCATGTGTTTCTCCCACTTCTGATCCAGCTCCTTGCTAATGTGCCTGGGAAAGCAGCAGCAGATGGCCCAAATCCTTAGGACCTTGCACCCATGTGGGAGACCTTGAAGAAGTGCCAGGCTTCTGGCTTTGTATTGGCCCAGCTCCGGCTGTTGTGGCCGATTGGGAAATGAACAACAAATTGAAGACCTCTCTCTCTCTCTGCCTCTGCCTCTCTGTAACTCTGCCTTCCAAATAAATAAATAAATAAATCTTTAAAAAAATTATGTCTCAAACTTACCACTTTCCAAAATGTATTATACATGAATTACTATTTTCATTCTGTCACACAATGTCTGTCCATTTAAAAGATGTGGTTAAATGGCCAGCGCTGCGGCTCCATAGGCTAATCCCTCACCTAGCGGCGCCGGCACACCGGGTTCTAGTCCCGGTCGGGGCGCCGGATTCTGTCCCGGTTGCCCCTCTTCCAGGCCAGCTCTCTGCTGTGGCCCGGGAGTGCAGTGGAGGATGGTCCAAATCCTTGGGCCCTGCACCCCATGGGAGACCAGGAGAAGCACCTGGCTCCTACCTTCGGATTAGCGCGGTGTGCCGGCCGCGGTGTGCCGGCCGCGGCGTGCCGGCCGCGGCGTGCCGGCCGCAGCGCGCCGGCCGCGGCGGCCATTGGAGGGTGAACCAATGGCAAAAAGGAAGACCTTTCTCTCTGTCTCTCTCTCACTGTCCACTCTGCCTGTCAAAAAAAAAAAAAAAAAAAAAGGATGTGGTTAAAGAGGTGTCCACTTCCTATGTCATTTTTGGCATTTAATTTTTTTTTAAAGATTTTTATTTTACTTGAAAGTCACAGTTAACGCAGAGAGAGGAGAGGCGGGGAAGGGCGGTGGGGTGTCTTCCGTTCACTGGTTCACTCCCCGATTGGCTACAATGGCTGGAGCCGTGATAATCCGAAGACAGGAGCCAGGACTTTTTCCTGGACTCCCACGCGGATGCAGGGTCCCAAGGACTTGGACCATCTTCTGGTGCTTTCCCAGGCCATAGCAGAGAGCTGAATCAGAAGAGGAGCAGCCAGGACCAGAACTGGCGCCCATATGGGATGCCGGTACCGCAGGCAGCAGTTTTACTCACTGTGCCATGGCGTGGGCCCTGGCATTTATTTATTTAATAGCCATTTCATTTATTCACTCAGTATCACTATGACATGGATATAATTCTCATTTAGAATGAGAAAGTCTTAGGATTCTAAATTGCAACTATCCTCTCAATTGCCGAGGTAACTCAGATCAGGAATTGAATAACTGGACCTTGATTGAACATTCTTTTACTCCAACTCTCAGTTGGTGCAGATCTGAGTTTGTTGAGCCAACTTTATATCTGTCACTGCATCAAGACTGCGCCTTTGGCCGGTGCCGCGGCTCACTTGGCTAATCCTCTGCCTGCGGCTCCTGCACCCTGGGTTCTAGTCCCGGTTGGGGCGCCGGATTCTGTCCCGGTTGCTCCTCTTCCAGTCTAGCGCTCTGCTGTGGCCCGGGAAGGCAGTGGAGGATGGCCCAAGTGCTTGGGCCCTGCACCCGCATGGGAGACCTGGCTCCTGGCTTCGGATCTGCGCAGAGCGCCGGCCATAGCGGCCTCTTGCGGGGTGAACCAATGGAAAAGGAAGACCTTTCTTTCTGTGCTCTCTCTCTAACTCTGTCCAAAAGAAAAAAAAAAGACTGCGCCTTTATATATTTGGATGATATTTGAGATAAGTGAACATCATTTTGTTTTTAGACTCTTAGTGTCTGTTGTATATTTGGCTCAGCCTGAACTGTTCAGTCTGAATTCTCCAAACTGGTTTTTGCATTCAGCATATCCAATCTGGTATCCAGAGAGTATAAATTAATAAGGAAGATAAGTGTTTGGGGCTGTATTTGTTAGGATTATGTAATAAGTTACGTCAAAACTTAATGGCTTAACCAACAATATTGTCTTGCTGTTTCCGTGGAGAATAACTTAGCTTAGTATTCTGACTCAGGTGTTTCATTAAGCTGCAGTTAAAATGTTGGCAAGGCTGCAGTCATTGGAACACTGGTCCAGAGTTGGACCATTCACTCACTTCCAAGATGACTGGCAAATTAAGAGTTAGCTGTTGACAGGAGACCTCACTGTAGTGTCTACATGGTATGGTGACTGACATCCCTTAAAGTGCGTGGTCCAAAAAATGCCTAAGAAACAACGCAATGTCTGTTGTGACCTACCTTGAAAGTTACACGCTGTCATTTCTGCAACATCCTCTAAATTATATAAGTCAGCCCTATTCATGTGGGAGGGGTCAACAAAAGACATGAATACCAGAAGACTGTGGTCATTGGGGGCCGTCATGGAGGTTGGTTACCACAGGGATCCAATGAGAAGGCATCAGGTAAATTGGATTATGTTCTAAGCCCACAGATCCTGGCTCCACAAGGATACGACGGATCTGTAGATGTGAGTAAAAAGAAGCCTGAGGAACAGGCATCTATCATGGGAAGAGATCTCTGACCCCTGAGGCTGTCCCAGAGGCTGGAAGGTACCAGGAAAGAGTGGACCTTGGAATTGTTGGATCTGCAACCTGTCTTCATCGTGCTTTCAAGAATGGGCAAACTCTGAATCACATCTCAGCCATTAGGAATCAGGAACAGCTGTGTGACAATGGAGCACTTGACCCCAGTGATGGCAAGGAGAGGTAAGGCAGCTCAGATAGGCAAAATGTAGGAGAGAGAAGTTGTACATTCAGAGACAATGTTGAAGAGTTAGAAAATTCAGTACTCTTACCAAGAAAGTTCTCATATGTATTACTGACGGTACATTGTAGACTTTTTTTTAACTCACATTTTGTTAATAATTTAAAAAATGTATTTCTGTTTTTCTTCATGGATACATTTAAATAATATTTTTAAATGCTCACGTAAGTGTAAGCAAAAGATTCCTATTCCATCCCTCCTAATCCCCTGTCCACTCCTTACAATCAACTGCTCTGACCATTTTTGTCTGGATTTTCTGCCATTCGTCTCCATTTTTCTGAATAACATCTATACTGCTGTGCTTGTTTTCTCAGCTTTAGTTTTTTTTGTTGATTTTTTTGAAAGATTTATCTGAAACACAGAGTTCTTCCATCTGCTATTTTACTCCCTAAATGGTCAAAACAGCTAGGGCTGAAGACAGGAGCCAGGAACTCCATTCTGATGCCCTACATAAATGGCAGGGGCACAAGCACTGGGGCCATCATCTGCTGCCTTTCTGGCCACCTTAGCAGGAAGCAGAGCAGCCAAGTCTTGAATTGGCCCTTCAATGTGGGATGCCATGGTTGCTGTGGTGGGCTAACTTTCTCTACCGCAACACTGGCCTCCCCCCCCCTTTTTAAAGATTTATTTATTTATTTGCAAATCAGAGTACACAGAGAGAGGAGAGGTAGAGAGAGAAAGAGAGGTTGTCCATCTGCTGGTTCACTCCCCATTTGGCTGCAACAGCCAGAGCTGCATTGATCCAAAGCCAGGAGCCAGGAGCTTCTTCTGGGTCTGCCATGCCGGTGCAGGGGCCCAAGGACTTGGGCCATCTTCTGCTTTCCCAGGCCAGAGCAGGGAGCTGGATCAGAAATTGAGCAGCCGGGTCTTGAACTGGCACCCATATGGGATGCCGGCACTGCAGGCATGGCTTAACCCGTTATACCATAGCACTGGCCCCTTCCTATTGATTTTTTGACAGTATAGATAAGGATTTAGCTCTCATTTGCTATTTAGCCACATCTCACCTCTACCCCAACATTCTCTCTCTCTTTTTTTTTTTTTTATAAAGATTTATTTATTTGAAAGGCAGAGTTACAGAGAGGCAGAGAAAGAGAGAGAGGTCTTCCATCCGCTAGTTCACTCTGCAGATGGCCGCAACAGCTGGAGCTGTGCTGATTAGGAGCCAGGAGCTTCTTCTGGGTCTCCCACACCGGTGCAGGGGCCCTAGCACTTGGGCCATCTTCTACTGCATTCCCAGGACATAGCAGAGATATGGATTGGAAGTGGAGCAGCTGGGACTTGAACTGATGTCCATATGAGATGCCAGCTCTGCAGGTGGTAGCTGTACTCGCTTATGCCACAGGACTGGCCCCCAACATGCTTTTTTTTTTTTTTTTTTGACAGAGTGGACAGTGAGAGAGACAGAGAGAGAGGTCTTCCTTTGCCGTTGGTTCACTCTCCAATGGCCACCGCAGGCGGCGCACCGCGCTGATCCGATGGCAGGAGCCAGGTACTTATCCTGGTCTCCCATGGGGTGCAGGGCCCAAGGACTTGGGCCATCCTCCACTGCACTTCCCAGGCCACAGCAGAGAGCTGGCCTGCAAGAGGGGCAACCGGGACAGAATCCGGCGCCCCGACCAGGACTAGAACCCGGTGTGCCGGCGCCGCAAGGCGGAGGATTAGCCTAGTGAGCCGCGGCGCTGGCCAGTCTTAATGTCTTTTTATAATGTTTTATATTCAGTTCCCTGTCTTTCAGCCCTACTCCCAAGTTCTTATCTGTAGAATTACTTAGTAATTCCATTTTTGAATATTTCTAGGGTTCTGTCTTAGCTTCTCCACCTTCACTTAAGGACTAGCTTTCTTGGGTTAAGTTAGAAAGTATCCACCTGTTTGTTTTTTAGCTTCCAAAATTTTGTTAGTATCTCTTACTGCTGAAGTCTTCTGTATTCTAGCTTCCTTTGTTCCTTTTTAACATTGTGATTGAGTTTGGGAGAGAGCAGACATAAATGCAAATACTTAACCTTAAATTTTTAACCAGAAGGTCCTGAATTTTTTAGAGTGAAAATAAATTAGGTTATTTAAAAATGTCATCAGAATCATGACTACATTCTTTCATAGAAGTTTCCACAGTGCCTATAGCCAGTCTCTGACTGAGGTTTGTTTCCAGAATCTTTATGGTAACATGTATCACCTTAAAGGCCCTCTTTCTCATTAAATCTTTTGTGATATTCATTATATACTTAAAATAAATTTCCTATTAGGAATAAAATATAGCCAAATCCTAAGAAAATTATATTGTTAGTAAATTTATTGGGCATCCTATAATTAGCCCTCCAGAAATTCCTATCAGATCCTATATAATTAATCATCCATATACATTTTGGTGTCTCTGTACCTTGGTAGTGGTTAGCATTTCTCATGTATCTGAGAGTTATTCATTAAAATGATAAAGCCACTAGGTACTGAAGAATTTCTGTATTCTTTTGTGTGGAAACTCTGAAGCAAATCTGTTTTGTTTTTCTTTCTTCAGCTTGGTGTCATCAGGACTCTGCTCTTTCCAAGGAAGAAGAGGAAACAGCCAGGTCTCTTGTATGTCTTCAGCATTTATTTGTTTCTTGTATTATTTTGCAGTGTAGTTATAGTTAGTTACTGTAACCTACCAGTAAATATGAAAAAAAAATCAAAATGAGGAATATGTAAAATCAAAGTGAGAATAGAAAATCAGAACCAAGGGCATTTGGGATATGACTGCACTGCAACAAATACATACAGAATTACTATAATTGAATTTAAATTTGAGTATGATCTTGGGAGTTAAAATAAATTGGAACATATAGGTCATTTCATAATTTGCATTATTTATGAAAGAAAAATTAAAATCTACAGAAAGACAAAGCTATCCACTGGCACTTAGATCAAAAAATTACCTGAAAGAATAAATGGAATATATATCTTTCAAATGATTCTACATATATATATTCTTGAGCTTTCGATACACATTGAGCTAAATTATACTAACATTATGTGGCAAGTCTTCTGTAGCTTTCGTGTTTTTTTTTTTTTTTTTTTTTTTTTTTTTGACAGGCAGAGTGGACAGTGAGAGAAAGAGACAGAGAGAAAGGTCTTCCTTTGCCGTTGGTTCACCCTCCAATGGCCGCCGCGGCTGGCGCGCTGCGACCGGCGCACCGCGCTGATCCGATGGCAGGAGCCAGGTGCTTCTCCTGGTCTCCCATGGGGTGCAGGGCCCAAGCACTTGGGCCATCCTCCACTGTGGGGAGCAACCCGGACTGGACTGAGTTACTGGAATTAAGACTTATTCTATGCATCTGCTCTCCCACAATATGGCGCTGAGAAGGGAAACAGCTTCTACACAGCTGCCTCCAGTTCAACCAATAAACTGTAGGACCTGCTCCTGATTGGAGGAGAGCAGCGTACTCGGCGTGTGGGTAGCAGAGTTGGGATTGGTGGAAAAGGACTATAAAGGAGGAGAGAGACAACATGCACCAGGAACATCTGAGGGGAACATCTGAGGGAACACCTGTGCAGACCCTGAGAGAGCCGGCCGGCGGTGTGCCACTCCCCTGCGGAAGTGGGGAAAGTGGCCAGGGGGAACCGCCCTTCCACGGAGGTGGAAGGGACAGAAGCCAACCCGGGAAGAACCAGCAGCAAACCCGGGGAGGGCCGAGCAGACAAAAGAACAGCGCAGGGTCCTGTGTCGTTCCTCCATGAAGAGGGGGAGCGACATAATGGTGCCATGACTCGGATATGAAGCCTAGGCAGGATTCAGTGTCGTTTCTCCACGAAGAGGGGGAGCGACACTCCACTGCCTTCCTGGGCCACAGCAGAGAGCTGGCCTGGAAGAGGGGCAACCGGGACAGAATCTGGCGCCCCGACCAGGACTAGAACCCGGTGTGCCGGCGCCACAAGGTGGAGGATTAGCCTAGTAAGCTGCGGCGCCGGGCTTCTGTAGCTTTCCATATCTCTGTTATGGTCTTAGAAGATCTAGTATAGGCCGGCGCCGTAGCTCACTAGACTAATCCTCCACCTGCGGTGCCAGTACTCCAGGTTCTAGTCCTGGTTGGGACTCCAGATTCTGTCCCGGTTGCTCCTCTTCCAGGCCACCTCTCTGCTGTGGCCCGGGAGGGCAATGGAGGATGGCCCAGGTCCTTGGGCCCTGCACCCGCATGGGAGACCAGGAAGCACCTGGCTCCTGGCTTCAGATCGGTGCAGTGCGCCGGCTGTAGTGGTCTTTTGGGGGGGTGAACCGACGAATGGAAGACCTTTCTCTCTGTCTCTCTTTCTCACTGTCTAACTCTGCCTGTCAAAAAAAAAAAAGAAGATCTAGTATTCTGGGATACTTACTGTATTTTATGGAGTGAAGGATGGCTTGTTTTTGGAATACAAAATAAAGCAAATTAAGTCCTTTGAGAAAAAAGGATGTTCTTCATCATCTTACAAAAACCTCTGTTCTTGATTCTTTTTGTTTGCACCTGTAAAACCATTTACACTCCTATAGTTTGAACTGCACATATACTCTTATTTTAACCATATGATTCTATAGTTCATGCAATTGTTTTCCCATCAGTACAGTGGTTCTTTGGCCCTTATCAGACTTGGATTCTGATGTTAGCTCAGTTCATGCCAGTGGGCAAATGGTTTTATTATCTTACAAAGTATATGACTGCAGGTAAGTTTAATTGCTCATGCCTTAGTTGCAACATCTGTAAAGGGAGATAATAATGGTACTTACTCTATAGGAATATTAGAAGGTTTAAATTCAGGTAATAAGTGCTACATGAATGATAGGTGTTGTTAATCATTATTAGCTATATAATCTTTCATACCTGAGACTGCTTTGAATATGTTGACTATATTCCTTGAAAGTTTAATGTGCAGTCCGGAAGATGAAATTGCTTGATTTAGGTTCATAAAAGTAATGCTTTTCTTGAGTAAAACTGTGTTAAATGCTATAAAAAGGCAAAGCTAGAGATAGTTTTTGTAATACGTACAGTGGAGATTTACTAACAGCTTTTTCGTAAAAACCATTAATTAGGGGCTGACATTGTGGTGTTGCATGTGGGGCCGCCACTTGCAGAGCCAGCATCCCACAAGGGTGCCAATTCGTGTCCCAGCCCCCCCACTTCTGATCCAGCTCTACTAATGGCCTGGGAAAAGCTGCACAAGAGAGCCCAAATGCTTGGTCCCATGCCACCCATGTGGGAGACCTGGAGACAACTCCTGGTTTTGGCCTGGCTCCACCCTGGCTAATGCAGCCACTTGGGGAGTGAACTAGAGGATAGAAGATGTCTTTCTCTGTCTCTTCCCTCTCTCAGTAACTCCAATTTCAAATCAAATAAACAAAAAGAACCCAATAATTAAATAGAATAACATGAAGCAATCAGAAGAAATGCAAGTGGCCAACATATATTTTAAAATAATATCTTAAAGAGACAATTGGGATTTGCAGATACATTTTTTAGGTAAAATTTAGATTGGGTAATAACCACTTTTATGAGAGAATTCTGAATTACATATACATTTTCTTCACATAGAGTAGAAAGCTAGAAATTGTGTCAAAGGAATTGTGATCTGCAAACTATTCTCTTAGCTATCAGAAACTTTATATATATTCTTCAGATACAAAATCCATATGTTTTGGTTTGGGATGAGGAAATGTACTGCCTGTATTTTAGGCCCTACAGTCTCAAAGTCATTCTAGAATCTGGATGTGATATTCCATTATAGCTGTTACTTACATACATCTAGACTACATAATATTTTATTTACTAGCTTCTATGTGCTATGTGGATTGTGCCATGAACTTTATATAGCTTATTTATTGTAATCAGTATAAAAACTCTGTGAAGTAGATTTATTGTTTTAATTCTTACATAATAAGGGAAAAGAATTATAATTATCAGTGTGTTGTAAACCTAGAATTCAAACCCATACAGTCTGATTCTAGGGCTGCACTTTATGATGCTGAACAGTTTTCATCTGTTCTGCCAACTCAGGAGTGGAAAAAATGCAAATTTTGCCAATTGTGAGTTCTATTGTTTGCCTATTTTATATTGTTAGTCTTTTCTTTACTTGAAATTAAGAGGAGCTGGAGCCATGGTGCAGTAGGTTAATCATCTGCGTGTAGTGCCGACATCCCATATGGGTGCCGGTTCTAGTCCCGGCTGCTCCTCTTCCAATCCAGCTCTCTGCTGTGGCCTGGGAAAGCAGTAGAAGATGGCCCAAGTCCTTGGGACCCCTGCACCTGCATGGGAGACCAGGTCAAGAAGTTCCTGGCTCCTGGCTTGGGATCAGTGCAGCTCTGGCCATTGCAGCCATTTGGGGAGTAAGCCAACGGAAGGAAGTCCTTTGTCTCTGTCTCTCCCTCTCACTGTCTGTAACTCTACCTCTCAAATAAATAAATAAAATCTTTAAAATTAAGAAATGTTGGGGCCAGCATTGTAGCATAGCAGGTAAAGCTGCCGCCTACAGTGTGGGTGCCAATTCTTTTCCCAGCTGCTCTGCTTCTGATCCAGCTCCCTGCTAACAACCTCAGAAAAGCAGTGGAAGATGGCTCAAGTTCCTGGGTTCCTGCCACCCACATGGGAGACCTGGAAGGAACTCCTGGTTCTTGGCTTCTGCCTGGACCAGCCCTGGCCATTGCGACCATCTGGGGAATGAACCAGCGGATGGAAGATCTCTCTGCCTACTTCAGTATTAGAATTGATGCAGATACCTTCTCTCAATCTGTCACTTTTTTTTTTTTTTTTTTTTTTAAGATTTATTTCATTTATTTGAAAGAGTTACAGAGAGAGGTAGAGACAGAGAGAGAGGTCTTCCATCCACTGATTCACCCCCCAGATGGCTGCAACGGCTGGAGCTGCGCCAACCGGAAACCAGGAGCCAGGAGCTTCTTTCGGGTCTCCCACATGGGTGCAGGGTCCCAAGGACTTGGGCCATCTTCCACTGCTATCCAAGGCTATAGCAGAGAGCTGGATTGGAAGAAGAGCAGCCGGGACTAGAATCGGTGCCCATATGGGATGCCAGCGCCCCAGGCCAGTGCTTTAACCCTCTGTGCCACAGCACCGGCCCCAATCTGTCACTTTCTTAAAGATTTATTTTATTTGAACAGCAGAATAAAGAGAGAGGGAGAGAGAAAGAAAGTTCCATCTGTTGGTTCACTCCCCAAATGGCTGCAATGGCCAGGGCTGGGCCAGGCCTGAGCCAAGAGCCAGGAGCCAGGAGCATCCTCTGGGTCCCCAATGTGGCTGCAGGTGCCCAAGCATCTGGCCATCCTCCACTGCCTTCCTAGGCATATTAGCACAGAGCTGGATTGGAAGCAGAGCAGCTGAAGTGGTGCCCACATTGTGGACAGGACAGAAACGTGTGCCATATGGGATGCCAGTATTGCAGTGGGCAGCTGCACCTGCCATGTCACAATGCTGGCCCTAATATGCTACTTGTTATGTTTTCATTTATCTTGTTCTGTGGATTCTTAAATTTGGATAGTAACAATTACCATATGATAAATAGGAACATATGGGGCTGGCACTGTGGCTTAGTAGACTATATGGAGTCAAACCAGATTTTCTGATATGGGATGTTGGCATCACAGATAGTGGCTTTACCTGCTATGCCACAATACCAGCCCCTCACATTAAAAAAAATGTTTATTCATAGAATTATTTGAAGGCAAGTGGTAAAGAGAGGAAGAGAAGATCAGTCTTCCAGCTGATGATTTCACTCCCTAGATGGTCACAAAAGCTAGTTCTGGGCCAGGCTGAAGCAAGAGCTAGGAGTTCCATTCTCCATCTGAGTCCCCAACATGGGTGGTAAGGGCCCAAGTACTTGGGCCATCATCTATTGCCCAGGTAAATTCAGGAAGCTGGATGGGAAATAGAGCTGCTGGGATTCAAACAAGCACTACCATGTGGGTTGCTGGCACCACAACCAGCAGCTTAAGCCACTGTACCACAGAGCCAGCCTGGATGTTTCAATTTTGTGATGATACATGCTTAGAAGTATAAAATGTTTTAATTGTTCTGATAGTCATTTTTATTTAAAAATTTCTTTTGTTTCTTGTGTTTTTATGTCATATCTAAAAAACTGTTGTCTGAGGTCACAAGTTAACACCTGTTTTCTTCTGAGAATTTTGTAGTTTTAGCTCTTATATATAGGTTGTTGTTCTCTTTTAAGTTATTTTTAGAATGTAGAATCCAGTTCATGGTTTTACATTTAGATAATCCCGTTCTCTTAGGACCATTTGTTGAAAAGACTATCCTTTTCTCCAGTGAGTGTCCTTTGTCTAAAATCAATCCACTATAAATGGGAGATTTATTTCTTTCAACCAGTTCTATTCTGTTCATCTGTTATGTCTGTCCTCATGCCAGTACCACACTGTCTTTTTTTCTTTTTCTTTCCTTTTTTTTTTTTTTTGACAGAGTTAGACAGTGAGAGAGAGAGACAGAGCGAAAGGTCTTCCTTCCGTTGTTTCACCCCCCCAAAATGGCTGCTATGGCCGGTGCGTTGCACCGATCTGAAGCCAGGAGCCAGGTGTTTCCTCCTGGTCTCCCACGCAGGTGCAGGGCCCAAGCACTTGGGCCATCCTCCACTGTACTACCGGGCCACAGCAGAGTGCTGGACTGAAAGAGGAGCAACCAGGACAGAACCAGTGCCCCAACCGGGAGTAGAACCATGAGTGCCAGCGCTGCAGGTTGAGGATTAGCTTAGTGAGCCACGTTGCTGGCCCACACTGTCTTGATTATTGTAGCTTTTTAGTAAATTTTAAAATTGGGAAATGTAGATCTTCCAGGTTTTTTTTTTCCAAGATCATTTGGACTTTTCTGAATCCTTTGCATTTCTTTTTTTATTTTTTAAAGACTTATTTATTTGAAAGGCAGAGTTTACAGAGAGAGAGAGAGAGAGAGAGAGACAGAAAGCGAGGGAGAGAGACATCGAGATCTTCCATCCACTGGTTCACTCCCCAGATGGCCACAACGGTTGGAACTGGGGCTGTCTGAAGCCAGGAGCTTCTTCCAGGTTTCCCACATGGGTGGCAGGGACCCAAGCACTTGGGCTATCTTTCCACTGCTTTCTCAGTCACATTAGTAAGGGGCTAAATTGGAAGTGGAGCAGCTGCAACTTGAACTGGCATCAATATGGTGGCTTTATGCACTTTGCCATAATGCTGGCCTCTCTTTTGCATTTCTATATAAATTTTAAGATGTGCTTGTACATTACTGCAAAAAGGTAGCTGATCTTTTGTTAGGGATAGCATTGAATTTATAGGTCGATTTGGAAGTATTATTATCTTATCAATATGAGTATTAAGTCTTGTGATCCATAAACGAGATGTCTTCAAATTTCAGTATTTTCAAGCTCTCAGAATATAAATTTTACATTTATTTTGTTAAATTTATTCCTAAGTATTTTATATTTTTATACTGTTGTGAATGGTACTGCTTTCTTAATTTCATTTTTGCCTGTTCTCTGTATCTTCAAATACAATTAACTTTTCTTATTGATCTTAGATCTGTAACCTTGCTGAACTTATTCAAATGGAATTTTAGTGGCATCTTTGAATTTTCTATATGCAAAATTATACCATCTGAAAACAGTCGTAGTGTCATTTTCTCCCAATCTGTATGCTTATTTATCTTCTTGCTTAATTTCTCTAATGTCTATACTACAGTGTTGAATAGAAATGATGAGAGTAGGCATCCTTGTTTTGTCTCTGAACTTAGGGGAAAGCATCCAGTGTTTCACCATTTATTATTATATTCCTGTGAGATTCTTGAAGATATCCTGTATCTTGTTGAACAAGTCCTTTTCTTTTGGTAGCTTGTTGAATATTTTGTTGTTGTTGTTATAAATCATGAGAATGTTGGATTTTGTGAAGTACTGTTTCTCCATTTCTGCAGATGACCTTTTGGTTTTGTCCTTTTTAGTACTGATATTGTGTATTACCTTAACTGATTTTTTTGGATGTTAATCCAATGTTGTACTCCTGGGATACATCTCCTCGGTCATGGTCTGAAAATCTTCATTTGATTAGATTCATTAGCATTGAGCACTTTACCTCTGTATTAATAAGACGTAGTGGTCTATAATTTTTTGTGTGTGTGTGTAATGTCTTGTCTGATTTTAGTATTGGTATAACTGAATTCATAGAATAAATCTTCCATCCTCTTTACTTTTCCTCTTTATTTTGGAAGTTCATAAAGAAGTTAGTATTAATATTTCTTTGTTATAACTTTCCAGTGAAGCCATCTGGGCCTTAGCTTTTCTTTTTTTTTCTTTATTTTTTTTTTTAAGATTTATTTATTTATTTGAAAGTCAGAGTTACAAAGAGAGAGAAGGAGAGGCAGAGAGAGGGAAAGAGAGGTCTTCCATCTGGTTGTTCACTCCCCACTTGGCCACAATGGCTGCTGCTGTACCAATCCAAAGCCAGGAGACAGGAGCTTCTTCCGGATCTTCCATGCCGGTTGCAGGGGCCCAAGGACTTGGGCCATTCTCCACCACTTTCCCAGGCTAAAGCAGAAAGCTGAATCAGAAGTGGAGCAGCCAGGACTCGAACCGGCACCCATATGGGATGTCGGCACTGCAGGTGGTAGCTTTACAACCACTAGGCCACAGTGTTGGACCTGACCGAGCTTTTCTTTTTGGGTAGTTTCTTGACTAGTAATTTAATCTCTCTTAATAGAGATCTAGGCCAGCGCCACGGCTCACTAGGCTAATCCTCCGTCTGCAGCACTGGTATCCCGGGTTCTAGTCCTGGTTGGGGCACTGGATTCTGTCGCAGTTGCTCCTCTTCCAGTCCAGCTCTCTGCTGTGGCCCAGGAGGGCAGTGGAGGATGGCCCAGGTCCTTGGGCCCTGCACCCGCATGGGAGACCAGGAGGAAGCACCTGGCTCCTGGCTTTGGATTAGCGCAGCACACCGGCCGCAACGCACCAGCCATAGCGGCCGCTTGTGGGGTGAACCAACGGAAAAGGGAAGACCTTTCTCTCTGTCTCTCTCTTTCTCACTGTCTAACTCTGCCTGTCCAAAAAAAAAAAAAAAAAACCAGAGATCTGCAATTTTTTTTTCTTTTTGATACAATTTCATTAGTTTATATCTTTCTAGAATACTTCCACTTCATGTATGCCATCTAATTTGTTGGCATACAGTTCATATTTTTTATAACCCTTTATATTTCAGATGAGTTTAGTGGTCATACTTCCTTTCTCATTCCTGATTTTAGTGTGTTTTTATAGTCTTCCCCCCGCCTTATCAGTTAAATGAAAAGTTTGTCTATTTTGTTGATTTTGTTTTTAAAGATTTATTTATTTATTCAAAAGGCAGAATTACAGAGAGAGAGAGGGAGTGGGAGAGGGAGAATCAGAGAGAGCGAGCTTTTCCACCCTCTGGTTCATTCCCCAAATGGCCGCAATAGCCAGAGCTAAGATGATCTGAAGCCAGGAGCCAGGAGCTTCTTCCAGGTCTCCCAAGTGGGTGCAGGGATCCAAAGGACTTGGGCCATCTTCCACTGCCTTCCCAGGCACATTAGCAGGGAGCTGGGTCGGAAGTGGAGTAGCTGGGACTTGAACCAGCACCCATATGGGATGCCAGCAATGCAGGCAGTGGCTTTACCTGCTGCGCCACAGCTCCAGTCCCCTTGTTGATCTTTAATCCTCTGCCTGTGGTGCTGGCATCCCATATGGGCGCCAGGTTCTAGTCCCAGTTGCTCCTCTTCCCGTCCAGCTCTCTGCTGTGGCCTGGGAAGGTAGTGGAGGATGGCCCAAGTGCTTGGGCCCCTGTACCCACATGGGAGACCAGGAGGAAGCACCTGGCTCCTGGCTTCAGATCGGCGCAGCACCAGCCGTAGCAGCCATTTGGAGAATGAACCAATGGAAGGAAGACCTTTCTCTCTCTCTCTCTCACTGTCTAACTCTGTAAAATAAAAAAATTAAGAATGAATTTTTGGTTTCATTGATTGTCTAATCTTTTCTATCCTGGATTTCATTGATTTCCAATATAATGTATAATATTTATTTTCTCTTAGTTATATTGGATTTAGTCCTTCTTCCAATATCAGAAGGTATATGTAGGTAGTTTACTACAAACATAATTTCAACTCTTTCTTCTTCTTTTTTTTTTTTTTTAAGTTTTATTTATTTACTTGAAAGGCAGAGTTACAGAGAGGCAGAAGTAGAGGTAGAGAAAGAGAGCGAAGTCTCCCATCCGCTGATTCACTCCCCAAATGACCACAATGGCCAGACCTAGGCCGATCCGAAGCCAGGAGCCAGGAGCTGCTTCCAGCTCTCCCATGTCAGTGCAGGGGCCCAAGGACTTAGGCCATCTTCAACTGCGTTCCCAGGCCATAGCAGAGAGCTGGATCAGAAGTAGGGCAGCCGGGACTCAAACTGGCACCCACATGGGATGCTGGCACTGCAGGTGGCACTTTTACCTACATTGCCACAGTGCCAACCCCTGTCATTTTTTTTTAAAGAGGGTGTTCATAGCTGAAGATATGTTTCTAAACATTGCTTTAGTGGTATATTGTAAGTTTTGGTATGTGTGTTGATTTTAGTTTATCTCAAAATATTTTGTAATTGGGGTTGGCGCTGTGGCGCAGTTGGTTAACGCCCTGGCCTAAAGTGCCAGCATCCCATATGGGCACTGGTTCTAGTCTTGGCTGCTCCACTTCTGATCCAGCTCTCTGCTATGGCCTGGGAAAGCAGCAGAAGATGGCCCAGCTCCAATTTTAATCCAGCCCTCCGCTGTGGCCTGGGAAAGCAGTAGAAGACGGTCCCAAGTCCTTGGACTCCTGCCACCCGCATTGGAGACCAAGAAGAAGCTCCTGGCTCCTGGCTTCAGATCACCGCAGTTCTGGCCGTTGCGGCCATTTGAGGAGTGAGCCACCAGATGGAAGACTTCTCTCTCTTTCTCTCTCTACCTCTCCTCTCTCTGTGTAACTATGATTTGCAAATAAATAAATCTTTAAAAAAATTTTGTAATTCCCATAATGATTTTTCTATCTCTTGATTATTTAAGAATATTATTTCATTTTCACATATTTGTAAATTTCAGATTTCTTTCTGCTACCTATTTCTAATTTTTTAAAAAATTTATTCATTTATTTGAAAGGCAGAGTTACATAGAGTGTTTTGCTCCTTTCTGCCAAAGATAATTGTTGAAAAGGTCATGAAAATCACTCCTTTGGGTATTTTGTAATGTATGAAAGGATATAATTTTTCCCAATGTCCTATTTTTCGAACAGCTTACATATGTAAAGAATATGATATAGTCCCAGTGTGCAATCTGTATTTTGTTCTTTATGATTATAAAGGCTATATTGGCTCCTAATTATGATTTCCAACCTATTTTAATGGGCCTATATTAATTCCATTGACATAGCAAAATTGTAAACTTGGGACTTAATGGGAGCATTGCAAAATAGGTAACAAAGTTTGTGCAGTATGGTCACAAACAGTTTTCAAATAACCAGTAGCTGATTGGCGGATAGTATCTCCTTTCCATTTCTGAAAATTTGACCTACAGATTCAAGACAGGTTGTTTAGTTGAAGAATTAGCTGAAGAATTTGACCCACAGGGATAGATTATTCTGCTGATCCCCACTTGAGAAGTATCTGTATTCTGCTATTCTCAGATGATATATGTTGTATAGATGTTTGTTAGGTCTAGTTGATGGTGTAGTGTTGCCTAGGTCTTCTGTTTCCTTACTGATAATTTGCCTAGAGGCTCTGTTTGAAGACTCCAGCTATGAACTGTTGAACTGCTGATTTATCCTTTAAATTCTATTAATTTTTGCTTCGTGTGTTTTGAAATTTTGTTAGGTACATATATTTATAATTGTTATACTTTTCTGTCAGATTGACTCTTTTATCATAAAATACTCTTTGTAGTAACAATTTTTGTTAAGGTTTATCTATTTCAATGGAGTCACAAAGAGAGAGTATGAGACAGAGAGAGAGAGAAATCTTCCATCCACTGGTCCACTCCCTAAATGGCTGCAGTGGCCAGGCCCGGCACAGGCTGAAGCCAGGAGCCAGGAGTTTCTTCTGGTCTCCCGCATGGGTGCCAGGGGTCTAGGTACTTGGCCGTGATCTGCTGCTTTCCCAGGCCATTAGCAGGGAGCTGGATCAGAAGCAGAGCAGCCAGCACACAAACTGGCACCCATATGGCATGCTGGCATCATGGGCGGCAGCTTTACCTGCTGTGCCACAACGTTGGCCCCGTAGTACCAGTTTTCATTTTAATTATATTTTGACTGACATTAACATATCCACTTTAGCTTGCTAATGATTGTTCACATGATGCATCTCTTTTTCTATCATTTTTCTTTCAGCATGTTTGTTATGTTTGAATCTAAAGTATATCTCTTGTAGACAACAACACATAGTCAGAGCTTGTTTATTCAGTCTGACAGTCTTGGCCTTTTAAATCTTACTCAACAAATTCACAATTAATGTTAACACTAACATCATTTGGTTTATGTCTGCCATTTTTCTGCATCCATGTGTCTCATGTCTTTTGTTTCTTCTGTGCTGTCTTTTCATTAAGTGAATGTTGTCTATATAAAATGTTACTATCTTTAAGGATTTTCTTGGTGGTTGCTCTAGGGCTTATGCATATCTCTTCAGAATCTACTTTAGATTTACACTAAATTCCAGTGCTGTACAGAAATGCTACTCTTAAGTAGCTCTAGTCTCTTTTTCTCCATTTGGTGCTATTTTTGTTACACGTATTTCATCTGTATGTTATAAACAATTATTAATACATATAAAGTTACATCTATTTAAGAAGCTAAGAAAGGAGAACAAGTGGCAAGGTAATACAAAAAGATAATAGAGAGATGAAACTAAAAGATATTATAAATTTTCCATGAACTTTGTGAGCCTTACAATGTGCTTGTGTATCTATAACCTTGTTATATTAACTTTTTTATTTACCATTTCTATCATTTGTGTGGACCCAAGTTACGGTCTGGTGTCATTTTCTTACTCCAGTACTACTTTCCTTTCAAGATTGTCTATTTTTCAGCATGTTTGCTATAATATATCAGGTGTGGTCTATGCATACTTGGAGTTAATTGAACTTCATGAATGAAAAATGTTAATTTTTCATCACATTTGAGAAATGTCAGCTATTATTTCTTTATTTGTTTGAAAGTCAGAGTTACACACAGAGAAAGAGGCAGAGAGAGAGAGAGAGAGGTCTTCCATCTGCTGGTTCACTCCCCAATTGGCTGCAATGGCTGGAGTTGCACAGATCCAAAGTCAGGAGCCGGGAGCTTCTTCCGGGTCTCCCATGCCGGTGCAGGGGCCCAAGGACTTGGGCCATCTTCTACTGCTTTCCTAGGCCATAGCAGAGAGCTGGATCGGAAGTGGAGAAGCAGGGACTCGAATCAGCACCCACATGGGAAGCTGGCACTGCAGGCCAGGCTTTAACCCACTGTACCACGGAGCCAGCTCCAGCTGTTATTTCTTTGAATTTTTTTTTTTTTTTTTTGACAGGCAGAGTTAGAGAGAGAGAGAGAGAAAGGTCTTCCTTCCATTGATTCACCCCTCAAATGGCCACTGTGGCCAGTGTGCTACGCCGATCCGAAGCCAGGAGCCAGGTGCCTCCTCCTGGTCTCCCATGCGGGCGCAGGGCCCAAGCACTTGGGCCATCCTCCACTGCCCTCCCAGGCCACAGCAGAGAGCTGGCCTGGAAGAGGGGCAACCGGGACAGAATCCGGCGCCCTGACCGGAACTAGAACCCGGTGTGCCGGTGCCACAGGCGGAAGATTAGCCTAGAGAGGCGCGGCACCGGCCAATTGTTTTTTTCTTCTTTTTCTTTTATCCAATACTATATGTAGTACTCATGCATATTGATGCACTTAATAATGTCCCACATTTCTCTCAGGCTTTTGTTTATTTTCTCTCATTCTTTTTTCTCCTTGCTCTTTGGATTGTAGGAACCCTATCAATTAAACTTCAAATTGCTGATTTATTTTTTCTTCTGCCACTTCAGATGTACAGCTTAGCGTGTTTGGCAAATGTTTCACTTCAGTTATATACTTTTCTACTTTATGATTTCCCTTTGGCTCTTTTTTATAACTTCTGGGTTTGTTTGTTTGTTTTTTTGATAAGACATTGTCATCATACCTTCCTTACTTTAATTATGATTTTCTGAGTTTTATTTCTATGATGACTGCTTTGAAGTTTTAGTGCATAAGGCAGATATCTAGGTTTGTCTTTTCTGATTTTTCCTTTGCATATGGATTTTTCTTTCCTGTTTCTTTGCCTGCCTGGTAATTTCTTATTTAAAACAGAACAAGTAGGTCATGTATTGCAGCAGCTGTAGATACTGATTCCTTTCCCCTGTTTTTCTTATTTCTGTTGCGTATTTGTTTGAGTGACTTGCCAAAATTATTATTAGTTTTTCTTGGAAAGGGAGAGATAATGGAACTCTTCTGTAACTGGTTCACTCCCCAGATGCCCACAACAGCCACGGCTGGGCTGAGTCAGTTAGGAACCCAGTACTTACTTTGGGTCTCACATGTGCTTGAGTGGTTGGTTTTCTCCCACAGTACAATACAAAATGAGGTAACATGAACACCTAATGTACAGTTTTTAGAACTGGTGACTCCTGGATCCTAGCTAAGTGAGTTTTTACTTGTTTTGACTACAGTGCATAGTTCCGATGACTTAAATTAATCAGAATTGTGTCCCCCCCCCCCCCCCCCCCCAGGGAACAGTGACATTTAAGGATGTGGCTGTGGACCTCACTCAGGAGGAAAGGAGAGCGAATGAAACCGGTCCAGAGGACCTTTAAACGGGGGAGGTGGGGCGTGAAGAAGAAAAGGAACATAAGTCATAAGGGGGAAGGGGAGAGTTTTGGGAAATTAAAAAAATTCTTTTCCCATTTTTTTGGAAGTGCTAAAGGATTTTAAATTGCGCAAAAAAGGGTAACTGTCCTTCACATGATTTTTACCCCATTTTTCAATTATTTTGTGTAGATAATTTTTTTTTTTTTGACAGGCAGAGTTAGAGAGACAGAAAGGTCTTCCTTCTGTTGGTTCACCCCCCAAATGGCTGCTACGGCTGGCGCGCAGCACCAGTCGGAAGCCAAGAGCCAGGTGCTTCCTCCTGGTCTCCCATGTGGGTGCAGGGCCCAAGGACCTGGGCCATCCTCCACTGCCCCAGGCCACAGCAGAGAGCTGGACTGGAAGAGGGACAACCAGGACAGAACCGGCGCCCCAACCAGGCCTAGAACTTGGAGTGCTGGTGCCGCAGGCGGAGGATTAGCCTAGTGAGCCGCAGCGCTAGCCCTGTGTAGATAATTCTTAACCATCAACTTTCACATATAGTCAAGACCCCAAGACCTGGCCCAAGGATTGTATGGTTATATCCAGTGTTAACATGCAGCTCCTTTGCTCTTTCCTGTATAGGCTGTCAACTTACCAAACCAGATGTGATCTTCAAGTTGGAGCAAGAAGAGGAGCCATGGGTTATGGAGGAAGAAATGTTTGAGAGGCAATATCCAGGTGAATAATAACAAATATCTCTGAATGAGAAACCCACGTGACAGTTTTTCAGTGAGGGTTGCTACCTTATTACATTTTCCAAAGTTTCTTAAAACCCCACTTTTCTACAGTGACAAATGGTAGGAATACTTTGAAATACTTATTCTTCCTATATTGA